TTGTCTCACTTTTCCTTTGACCTTCATCTATTTTTCGTTGAAGAGAGACACAAAATATATCTTTTTTTTCCTTCACAACGCGCATTCACTTTTGTTTTCCCTTTTTTAGAAAACAATTCTTGTAAGAGACTAATTCATTTTTGAACCAAAGTGAAATTTCTTTTTGAGCACTAATGAACATCAGAAATCGATGGATGGGACACTGCAGGGTCATCGGATGGGATACACATTACTGGTTTCAGGGTACAATCTCCAGCCAACATCTCTTCTGAAAACGGCAAGGGAAAATCGTCCTTTCTTCCTTCTACATCAGCATTTCAGGAGCGACGAGGTACAAGTAGTACGGGTGGAAAATCGCCCTTCCTTCCTTCAACGTTTTTTTCACTGCAGCAATTTTTTCTCCCGGTGGATGATGGAATGGGGAAAATTTCAACTTAGCAGTCAGCCAGATTACGTTACGCTTAGTTTCTGCGAGATAAAAATGGGTAAACTTCCTCTGCAAGTATTTATCCTGTCGACTTGTAATAACAGGGCTACATCCCTGTTATCAGTGTTGTATTTAGCTTGAAATAATGCAGTCGTAAGCCATCAGACGCTCTAAACAGGTTTATTTAAATGTAGGCTGGTATTGATAACAGTTCACATCCACACTCCCTACGGGAGGGGGATGAACAAGACTTCTGACAATTCCGGAACAGCTTATCAGGATCACATCATGATGAAAAGAACACGCAAAACTAGCGTTCTGACGTTTTATACCAACACAGATTTGAGGAAAAAAGGTACACTTCGTACATTCCTTGTAACCTTACGCATTAAGGAAAATCAGTTACTGCTTCCTAATATGGAAGTGAAAGAGGGAAAGATTCTAAAAATAACTCTTCCTTTGAAATATAAATCTATTTATATTTCAATGGTATGTTTTCAGCCTTGAATTCCCAAAATAGAATCTCTCTACGCTTATTCTTTAACAAAGACATTTTATGAAAACGAAAGAGTTTCAATTCTTTTATTAATACAAAAATATTTAATTTTTGTATTTATATATATATATATATATATATATATATATAAGAGAGAGAGAATAATCAAACCTTAAAATATTTAAGGCAGAACACAATAAAAAAAGTATGTTCGAAAGAGTAATTAGATTCAACTTCAGTTGACCGTCATATTTGTTTTATGCTTGATTAAGTATCTTTTCATTAAAGTCTTTAATAGAATGTTTAAAAAAAGGAAGTAAATTGCAAATGACTGTACTTTAAACTGCAGGCAGTATTTTAAAGAATTCTTCAGACAGTGTTTTTAACAAGACAATATATTAAAGCCACTCTAAAGTTACATATACCAATTATACTTTACACAGTGTTTCATAATAACCACTCTTAATATGTAATTTTAAATGAAACCCGAAATTAAACGCATTAATAGGTGTAATATGATCCTGAAATATGTATTTAAAAGAAGAGAAAACAAAGCGTTTTCAAAATCAGTAGTCAGAAAAGAAACTTATCGAAATATTCTCACCAATTATCGAAACACCTCTCCATTTTCGCTTGCATATAAACAGATTTAAACATTTTCTCAGCGACCTTCTTCAGTCGTTTTTATTTCGATTAAGTTTTTTTTCTTTCATTGTTAAAATTTTGATTTTTTTAAGGTTTATTTCTGAAAGAATCATACAATTATATATTGAGTATTGTCATCGTGGAGCACTCACTATACTTTCTGAAGTAAATGACGTTCAATTCACAAAAATATTAAGATATCTTTTTTTGGGTATTGGTAAATAATTCTTATGCATCCGTATTTTAAATTAAACATTTGCAAAGTTAAGTTAAGTATATAATACTTTTTGATAACTATTCTAGAACAGATGTGGAGCCTCAATTTCTTCGAAGGTTTTAATCATAAGCACTCATCAGGAGTTGGTACATGCGCTCTTTTAGAAATAAAAGCACACATAAAAAATAATGTAAAAATATCGGTAGTTTTTTAATTTATAATTTATATTTTTCAAAAGAACAACATTTTTAGAGCAAATGATTTCATCAATCACTGATTTTGAAGACTGTTCTAGAATTTTTAGTTTTAGAATTAATAATATAAAAATAAAATGTAGTATGTTAGTTAGTAAGATATTGATTGGTTAACAACCCTTGTAAATGCATCAATATTTTAAACTCTTAATTAGATTTTAAAGTCAATTATTTAACGTTTTTCTTAAAAGATGCTAATTTGAGATTTGCCATTAATAACGATCTACTATGAAGAAGCCCCAACATGAAATAATACACTGGTGAAATAAATAAAGAGAATTTGTATATTTTATTGAATTTCATGAAAAGAACTGAACTGAATGTAAAGCCACTGCATCTAGACAAAAATTCAAATCTTGTACATCAAATACGTAAGCGTACACGCGTGTATAGGCGGATCCAGTAGAGAAATAGGCTTTATAAGTGAGCGTAAGTTTGGACGCATTTTGTTCGCGAACACAACTCGACGAATTTCTTGGTGTTATTTTACAGCAGAAGCCGACCAGGTGACCGAGTGGTTAGCGTGTCTGACTGCTGAGCCATTGGCAGCGGGTTTGAATCCTGCTCAGGGCATTGATGTTTCCTTCTCTCTCTCTCTCTCTCTCTCTCTCTCTCTCTCTCTCTCNACCGATAGCGTGCAAGAGTTCGTGCACAATTGTTCCAAACGGGTCGCAACCATATCCCAAAGATATATATATATGTCCTTTCCTCTTTGTGTGAATGTGACCAGCTCTAAAAACGGGTTTGCGATTGTGTGACGTGGGCGACGCTGCCCCATCGCCGTGGCTTCACCACAGGTGCCCACTGGGTAACGAGAATAGAGTAGCAGTTCCGGCATTTCTGTGGCCAATGGGACAAACCCCAAGTGCCGCCATTTTAAAAAAAAATTGCAGCAAAAGGTTAAATTCAATTTGTAACAGTAAAAATGAGTAACCACCAACGTTTAGACTAGGTGGCGAATTGTAGAGAGGCTAGAAGCAGGCCAATCTTAGATCCAGATTTCTAGAGATTTTAATTTAACGCCCAGAGTCGTGTGTAACTTATGGAAACAGTTCCAGGATACCGGATCCATCGAGAGAAAGCCTGGGTAATGTCGTCCGAGAACCACGACGACCAGAGAAGATCGCCATTTGACCATTATAGCGAGGCGTAACAGAGGGGCTACAGCTTGTCAGCTCTCTCGTGACTTGTATGCAGCTAGAGGAACCCGTGTATCTAGTGTGACTGTTTCCGAACGACTTCATGAGGGACGGTTGTTTGCAAAAAAAAACCCTGCGGTTTGAGTCTCGGTCACTTAAACACAATTCTTGCCGTAAGTTCATATGGAGAGAACCAGGGATCCGCTACCTACCCTCTACTGTCCTCAAAATTGACTATTATGGCGTAGCAGGTTTAATGGCCAGGACAGGTATCATGTTGGATGACCGCGCACCTCTCCATGTCTCTAAAAGAGACTCTGTGACTGATGTGAGGTTTAGGGATGATGTCTTGGAGCCCTAAGTTTGTTTTTAAGGGTGCAGTTGGTCCTGGGTTCATTTTAATGGACTACAATGCGAGGCCACATAGAGCTCTTCTGGTTGACGAATTTCTAGAGAGTGAGGATATTCGCCAGATGGATTGGTCAGTCAGATCTCCCGACCTCAACCCTATAGAGAACCATCCAGGAAATGAAAAAAAAGCGTTGCTACATGAATGGGACCAATTTTCACAGGAAATTATAAGCTGCCTAATTTTAAGTATGAAATCACGCTGCGAGGCTTATATGTCTGTAAGAGAGGACCATCCCTATTAAGCCATTTTGCTTGTTTATTCTGCAACCACTGTTGCACACCTTCCAACTCCAACGATTGTTACGTACGATCATGCGCGTGTGCTACAATTGTTGAATGGTTATTTGTTTCGTATTGTGACAATGTATGTACATATCAAATTCATTAAAATTGGTTCAGTAATTCTAGAGATAATCGACCAAGTCCGTACACTAGTGTATTTACTTCCTTTTTTTTTATTTGAGTTATAATTTGACGTACTTAGAATTGTTTTCTCAGCAATATCTCTATTTCTATACTTTATCACATTTTTGTACTTTTCACTGTATTCAATTGTTTATTTGAAAAAATTTGTAAGAATTATTAAAACCATAAGTAACATTATTTCTCCGCCCTAGTAACCATCCCTAAAAATAGAACCAGTTTCCGTACGACATTACACTTTCCTCAGTACTTAAGATTCCCCCTTCGCCATAGGAACCCTCCGTGGAAATAGAACCAGTTTCCGTACGACCTTACACTTTCAGTACTTAACATTCCCCTCCGCCCTAGGAACCATCCGTGGAAATAGAACCAGTTTCCCTACAACCTTACACTTTCCGTACTTAGCATTCTCCCTCTTCCCTAGGAACCATCCGTGGAAGTAGAACCAGTTTCCTTACGACCTTACAGTTTCCGTACTTAACATTCCCCCTCCGTCCAAGCAACCATCGCAGATAAAACTCATATTCAAAAGTAAATCCTTTGCCGTAATACGAACAAGACCATAAAATAACACTTTTCATAAGTAACATATACCTCCCTCGTCCGAGGTAACATCCGTGGAAAAAGACCAATTTATAAGTAACATTACCCGTTTGTCCGAGGAAACATCCGAGAAAACAGTCCAATTCATTAGTAACATTACCCATCTGTTCGAGGAATGATCCGTGGAATAAGACCAATTTATAAATAACAATACCTAAGAAACAATTCGAGAAAATAGTCTAATTCATAAATAACATTACCCATCTATCCGAGGAACCCTTCGAGAAAATCGAAAAATTGATAAGTAACATTACCCATCCGAGAAAGTATACAATAATATATAAGTAAATAAGATGGAAATGAAAAATTTTCAGTCAATATGAAAAAGTTTCACATTTTTTTAGAAATAAAAGTACAAAAAGATAAAATAATAATACACTACAAGTCTTAATAACTTTCATTTTAGTGCAAGTCTCATCTTACATATTACAAAACAATTCTTACATATTTTGCAAAACATTAATGTATTTCTCTAAACTCTACATTCGTATAGTTTATTAATTCTATAAATATCTGATGCAGACATAGCATCCTTTCTGTGGACTGGGACTAATACTCCACCACTTTTGTCTGTCATACTGTATTTGCCTCTCTCTTTCGCAAATGAATTGCTTCCATACAACATGATGGACTTGAAGTCAAAGGAAGATAGGAGCCTATTTTGTTGTGGAGCCAACTTCTCGAAAGCGTAATACCATTCTGTATGGTAAAAAAAAGTTCTTATATTTTTCAAAATAAATCAGTAGTTTCAATAAATGAGCGTAATTTGATTTAATAAACATGTATGTCTTGTTCTAATACAATGCATTTTTGTAATAGAAGCATTTTTTAGCAAAGGTTTTACTGAAATAAAAGTTACATATTTATTTATCAAGTATGGAAAAAATAAGAGTCATTTAAATGCAAACAATTTGCCATAATTAAATATAATTTTCCGGATATTAGTTATCCCATACGTTTTTTTTAAACCGTTGAACCACCGACCCGATTTTTTGGGCTTATGACTACTAATGTTCAACTCCGTATTTTTAAATCCTATCCAGAAGACAAGGGCACACATGGATTAAGTATTGGGAAACATTTGCTTTCGTGGAGACCTTTTTGATGGAACTACACCACATTTGCATTACACTGAAAGGAAAACAATGAAAACACTCCATGGTTATTCAAACGGCAGAGGGACTCGACTAAATACGCCCATGATCCGTCAATCACTGAAGATATTTCACGTCAGCACTTTGGTCAGTGCATGCCGAATTCGGTACGGCCAGCAATCGTTGGGATTCGAACCCGGTTCACCTCATTGAATAGCGAACGCACTATCCCTTCAACCATCACGACTCTAGTTATCTCATATAATGTATCTTATATGTTCGCAAATTTTAGTCGTGAAAATTGTTCTTTTTAAAATTTTAACCTTCATTTAAAATATTAAAAATCATGCTCGATCTTGATTTGGCATCAAAATTTCCATCAATCTCTTGATCGGATCGGGATTTAAAGCTAAACGTATTTAAATTTGTGTGGTGAGGGTGCTTAGAACAGGTGCTGTCTGAACGAGATCTATACTTGAACTGTTACCAGTCTCGCACATTAGTCAATTGATATCAGTCACACTTAAAGCGATGCAAAATCAGATCATCCAATACATATTAGTTTAAAAATCACTACCGTAATAGTTCTTCCGGCAGATGTTAAAAAAAAAACAATTTCTCTGAAGGAGATATTTGAAACAGTCAGCATTTGCATATTATCAGCTGGAACATGCTGCAGTATTTATATATAATTAAGCCTAGTTCTTCTAATTTTAGGTCTCAGCTGAAGTTCAATCTATACAAAAATCACACTATGTATATGATGTTTACACAGCAAAGTACAATACTTACGATTTTCGATATTTTGCCAGTTAATAATCAAATATTCATCCCTATCAGATCTATTGTGCTCATGTTCGAAACCGATAGCGTGCAAGAGTTCGTGCACAATTGTTCCAAACGGGTCGCAACCATATCCCAAAGATAAAAGTTGTTGCCTTCCTATTCTTCCCCAATGTGAGTAACATCTGCAATTGGAAAAAGAATTGAGTCGATGAATTTGACACATTTGAAGACCTAAGGAGACAGCAGAGACAATTTTCAGATCTATATTACATTTTGAACAAATGACGATTGGATCGTCATCTGCTGTATTTTGTGGATTACTAAGTTTTGACGAATCAATAGCCTGAAAAATTATATTTTTCCGAGAGTTATTAGATTATGAAGATGGGTCATACTGTAGAAAAACCCTTCCTTTCAGCTTGCAAAATCATTTTTTATTCAAATCAGCTTTTAAGAGCATAAACCGTTCTTTTCCCATGTTCTTCATTTGAGATATTACATTCTATTCTAATCATTCTTCGTTGAACATTTCTCATTTTGCTATTTCTCATTTCCCTAAACTTACGATGGATTAGAGTACAGTTCAGTTGCCTTGAAAAGTGATGCATGCAAATAGAAACAATTTCAATATATATATNTAATAAGAAATTCCTCTTATATATATATATATATATATATATATATCAGATTATAGTGTTAGTCTTGATCTAAATAATCTATTAAAACTTTTTTTAAGATTAGTTTAAATAATTTTTAATTCCGAGTGAATATTCTGCGTACAACAAAATAGCTTTACTTTTAAAATATGTCTAATAAGGATTAAATTAATAAAAAAAACTAAATTAAGAAATATCTATTTAATTGAATCAATTTTTTTTACAGTTTTAATCCTTTCCTTTATTTTGTGCTGTATTCCAACAGTAAGTAATAATTCGAAGCACCAATTACTTTTTCAGTTAACATTCTAGAAACATTGTTTTCATAATAAGCACCATCATTGTGCGCTATTCATTTTTAAAAATTCTCAGTTAGTATTCAAAAAAATTTTTTACCCACTGTCCCTAAAAATTTTGATGTGATCTTCTTGGTTGGTTCTTTCAACAAAACGTATACATGTGCTGTCTTCAATATGTTTCATGGCTCTTCGGATTTCTGATGTTAATCTAGCTGAAATACAAAATTTAAATATTTTGAATTGCAAAACAAAAATAATAAATAATTCCAAAATCAACAATTATTGAAATTTATGTAAACATTCAGTGGCTCATGAAACGTAATCATGAAACTAAATAACTCGACAGACAGATGCTTATTACTCGTAAACGTAAAATTAGCTAATTTCAAAAGTGGAATGATCATTTTACATGAGTTTTTATATGAAAGACAGTGTTATATTATTCGGGTAACCGGCCAGGTGGCCGAGCGGTTAGCGCGCCTGACCGCGAAGCCATTGGCCGCGGATTCGAATCCCGCTCTGGGCATGGCTGTTTCTCTCTCTTTGTGCTGTCCTCTGTTGTGTGTGTGTGATAGATGGATGTGGCCCACCCTATAAACGGGTTTCTGGCAGTGTTCCGTGGGCAACGTTACTCGCTTCTATGACTTTGGTTCTCAGGTGCCTGCTGGGTAACGCAAAATGAGTAACAATTCCGGTATCTTGATATGTAAAGAGTCAAATTCAATGCCTGCCATTGGAGAAAAAAAATATTATTCGGGGAAAAATTTTGGTAAAAAATAGAAATTTCGATTAATTGTTTCGTTTAAATAGCCCATAGAAAGTTTTGAGAACACAAAAAAAATAATAATAAAAAATATACAGGTGAGAATAAATATTTTACAAACTTAGTCGGAGACTGTTTTAAAAATTATTTGATGCAATTATTTTTTATTGAAAAAATTAATTATGTGATATTAATGTACTATTTTATCCTCTTTCATATAAGTGATTCATTTTATTGTATAAAATGTGCAAATAAATTTTTATAAACTATTATAAGGTCTATCCCGATTGGCTCATTTACTCCATTTGCAATCACTTTTTAATGAACGAGGGGAAAAAAAATTGATCCTCAAAACGATTAATTTACTTAACAAAACCATACCAACGTTTGTCATTGTGTTACTATTTATTACTGTACCACATTAGCCGCATGCCTCTTATTAGTAAGCAATACCTGATATTGCTTCCTAATTTAAAATACCCATTTTGTATTTAATAATTTAATTTTATACCACGACAAGGTAAAACTTGTTGAAAAATTTACTCTAAAATAACACAAAATAAATTTGTCGTTCAATCGCTTAAAATACTCAAATAAATATTTGGTACTGTGTTACTATTTATTACTGCACCACATTAGACTAATATAATTAGTCTCATTAGTAAGAAATGCTCGATATTGCTTTGTAGTTTTTAATACTCGTTTTGCATCGATTAATTTAATTTAATACAATCACGGGATAAAGCTAGCCTTAAAAATTCATTTTTTGAAACTAATTTATTTCTGGTGCTTTGGCAGTAATTGGTAAAATAATAATGGAAATGTCGATTGTCAAATTTGCAAGTCTCTTACATAATTCAGGTGATATGAAATAAGGAATAACTCCGTCCGGCCATCTCTGCGAATCACGGGGTATAGCATTTCGATCCTTAAAGAAATAAAAAAATAAGCAGGAATGGTAAAAAAATAGCAAATTATTATACAAATATTTCACTTCGTTTTAATTATAATATTGGAGTAAAACAAAATACAACCAATTGTATAATATGATATAAAGAAAAATAAAGTACTAGTTTAAAAATTCTTACTGTAATCATAATTTCATTTATGATTTTAAAGCTCATATTTTTTATAATATTGTTTGACTTCCTGTTTACACTTTTTACCTTTTAAATATTAATTCATAAATTAATCATTTATTAAATCAAATTCAAAATATGTATACATCACATGTAAAATACTAGTTAAAGCAATAATACAACACTTCAAGAAATACCGGATCAAATTACAGTAAAAAATACTGGCACCCTGAGTGACGCATCCGAAAAATTCATTCTTACTGCAAAATCTTATGCCTACTTTTAAGGGTAATATTTATTTAATTACAGTGAATAAGTGACTTTGCAATAAATACTACAACACACAAAAATTACTGTCTATCAGAATTTTTGTACTGGACGGTAAAAATGGATTTTACGTTAAAAAGTACCGGCCCCCTGAGTTCCAATACCTATGACAGTAATTTGGTCTAGAGCATTTTCACAGTGTAGTTCTTCAAAAAATTTTTTTTTGTTTATAATGGCTTACATAGCGTGTTTTATAATTTCGCACTTCATGTCCTAAATACAGGGTCTTCCGCAATTACTGCTCTTAATACATATTTTCGCAAACTAAAGGCGTGTTATTCAACGTACTTTTGCAGACAAAATTAAAATAGTCAAAGCTTGAGTGCCTTAAAGCAAGGCCTTGATTTTAAACCAATGACAGAAACTATATCACAGAAAAAATAACTAACAACAAACAGCTTATATGTAAAAGTGCTAAATTATTTCAATAAAAAAAAACAGTATTTTTAGGTTTTTATAACTAGATAAAAATCAATAAAATTTAGCAAATAATTCTCGATATTTGCTACTTTTTTTAACCTAAAAATGCAGCGGTAGTGGTGCTTTTCAAAAAATAAAAAGTTTTGTCACAAAAGCTTTTTATTTTTTTATTTTTACGAAATTTTGGTTTTTCTAGATTTGTTATTTTTTGCCATTTTCGTAATGAGATTAGAAGCCAATGGCTAAAGAAGGACAAGACAGAATAATCATGAATAATTGTTCGAAACTTAGAACAACTAAAAAAAAATGGCATATTATTTGCTAGAAATGGTTATATTTTAATTTCGTTAGTATTTCGAAGAACTACCGTAAGTAAAGAGTTGAAAGGGGGAGATTAGACATATTTTTAAAAATTTTTAAGTTGGTAACAACGTCACAATCAAAAATTAATTTAATTAATTTAATTAATTTAATTAATTATAAAAAGTAAAGGCACATTTTTAAAAATAATCTTCTAATATCATCACTAATGCATTATAATAAAAAATAGGGTAATTATGATAAGTTCAACACTTATCAAAAGTATGCTTACCTCATCAACTTCTACTCCCAACATATCTCCCTCAAACATCCCCTCATTGATCATAGGGTCATGATGGACTAAATAAAAATGAAACGTTAGAATTTTGGAAACATTTAAGTTTTAATACACATGGTTGTCTATAAGCGCCACCTCTACAAAAGTATACATTTAGACTCTTTGTAATAAGTCAAGTAAAAATTATTCACAATGAAGGTCAAGCATTATTATCTTTTAATCATTTAAGTGCAAAAGCAATCAATGGCGCAATTAGAGAGAAAGCAGAGCACTTAAAAAAATGTGAGGTCAAATACCATAATATGAATAATTTATTTTTCAATTTTGTATTTTTCATAAATGCACGGTAATAAGAACTATAATACTGAAAACCAGATTTTTCGGTAAACCGTTACCATATGAACGATAAATCTAATGAATGGTTTAAATACCGGGCATTTTGGTTTTATTAACCAGAATAATGGGGTTTTTTTTACCAGAAATGTCATCATCATGTAGTAAGGTAATTTCACCAGAATTTTTTTCACCGGGTAAGAAATAAAATTGCATTAATTGAATGTATAAATGTTTGTAATGCAAATCTTCTTTCAATTGTAAAATTCTATTTTTTTTATTTTTGCCTTTCATTTTTCTCTATAGTAAAGAATTTTTTTTATTTAAGTACATTTTTAAGCAAACCTTCATTAATTGAATGCGTATCTCTTGAATAAATAGAAAAATATGCTGATATTTACATTTAAAATCATATTATTGAATTGAAGAAAGAGCGAGTGTTTTTTAATGATTATTATGAGGCATTATTGTTTTTCCTACTTCTTATTTTAAATATTTTTACACGCCTTTATATTTAAGATAACAAAAATAAAATATAAGTATGAAATAAGAGCGTTATAAATTTTGAAGATGATAATAAACAGTGAAGATTTCCTGATAAATTTACGGTAAAAAGTACCATTATTTAAGGTGCTGGTACTTATTACCTTAAAATCCATATTTATCGGATCATATTACGGAACAAGAAATTTGACATACTGTAATTTTCACAGCAATAATTTCCATATAATAAATGATTTATTCGAATTATAATAACTATTACTGTTAAAATTACGATACAAAATTTTAAGAAAAAAAGGATATTACGGATGCTGCACGCGGTTTGCCAGTTTTTTTATCGTAACTTGACTCGGAATTTGTTACAGTGTAAAACAAAAAAACCTCTAGAATTACAAATATATTCTATTAAAATCTTTAAAATAGGGCACAAGTTTCGATGCGAAACATGAGTTCACCTCCAGTGCACAATACAGTACAGAAAAGATACCGACGATGGCCTTTTTCTGTATTCTACTTTTTCTGCTTTCGGCCATAACAATGATGCTTACGTATAGATTCTAAAGCTGTTTGTTACTTTAAGGGAATGTATCTATGAGTTTCAGCATTGTTGTTTTTTTACTGATTCTGTAAAATTTAAATAATAATGTCAAACTTCATTTGAAAAACATCCCATATTAATGAATATTTGTCAATAAATACACTTTAAAAAATTCAAGATCATTTTATGGTAAAAAATACCAGCACTCAGGAACTCAGGATGCTGGTACTTTTTACCCTAAAATTCATTGTTTTTAGAACATGTTGCGGAATAAAAAATCTGATGTACTGTAATTTTGTTAGTAATAATTTTCCTAAAATCACTGAATCAGTTGAATTAACTAAATATTACTGTAAAAATTACGATATAAAATTTTATGTTAAAGAAAGGATTTTACGGTAAAATAGGTTATACCGATGATGCACCCAAAGTGCCTGTTACTTTATGCTGTAATATGATCCGAAATTTTTGACAGTGTATAATAATACACATTAAGGGTTTAATGCTAGTGTTTTAAAAAACCTGAATGGTTTGCTCTGCTTAAAAAAGAAAAACAGTTTATATATTATTTTTGATTTACAGTAACTTAATTGGAAATATGATTAATATAGTTTAAATAAAACTCTAGGGGGAAAATAATTTTTGAAAAACCTTTGCAGTGTAATATATTATTTCGTTTTTCTCAGGTTAAATAATATTTTTCATAGTATAAATATATATTTTGATTTACCTTCGGTAGTCCAAGTCAATGAGAAAAGAGATAGAAGAAGAAGAATTAGCATATTCGATTCCAGAAAAAATAGCCTTTGCTATTAGAGGTACGTTTAACTTTTACTTATAGAATATTTTTATCACAAAATATTATCATAAATAGATTAAAAGTGCATTGGTGGGATCGTTAAATCTGGCAAGTTCAAAGATCCAGCATATTTTAATAGATTAAAAACAACGCACCATATCTTGATGAAACTACACCAAATGTACGTACAACTACACTAAACGAGAATGTAGTGCTAGTTTCAGCTCGTTAATACAATTTATGTTTGATTAAACGTAAAATAGAAGAAGTAAAATAAAATGTTTTTACAGAAAAAAAAGATAACTCCTTATAAATTAAAATATTTTCTCGTTTTGTTGATAAAAATAGTTTTAATGAAGGAATTATTGTTTAACCAAATTGCTAAAAATGCATGTTATTCAATATAAGTATTCAATAATGAATATTTCATACGATTTATGTTAACAAAAGTTATTTATAAAGTTAAAGTTATTTATAAATTTATTTATAAATATCAGATCATTTATAAATTTATAAGCATGCATACTTCTGAAGCATAATAAGGGGAAATGGGCCTACTTGATCTTTGTGGACAATCAAACATGGTGAAAACTAAGTTTCCTTTTTCGATTTTTGCAAGGAAGTGAAAAAATTAAAGGAGAAAATAATTTGGCTGATGACAAACTATGGCTTGCCATAATTGTTACTTTAAAACGTTTAATAATGAAGATTTAATTTAAACTATGTTAACCAAAGCAGCGTTGAAATAAATCAATTTATGCTTATTATGTTTGATTTTAAAAATGGGTGGTCATGCAGTGATGATTCAAAGGCTCTCCTTGGTATTGTTTCCAGATTGATTCTTTGCAAATTTCCAGACTTTTCTAGTATATAATTACAAAGTACATAGAAACATTTTAGCTTTTAATTGATCAATCGATCTAGATTATCTTAATGCGTCACGATTTAATTTTGAGATCAACCCAACAAAGGATAATAGCTACATCAAGAAAATAAGCAAAATTGTCATTATTTTTGAGTAAAACAAATCTATAATTGAGTTACATTAAAAGGAAAATCTCCCACTATGGTTCAGACAACTAATGGCTCAGACAACTTAACCCTGGTATCTCTCAATCATTAAAGACATTTGAATTCAACCCTGTGGTTAGTGCAAACTAGAATTAGATTTGGAATTGTAGAATCATCTCCCAGGTTTGAATGTATTTCGTTCTGTTATGAATCGAACACTCTAAATCCTTAAACCAGAACTTGTTTGAGAAATGCTTTAATATGGAAAATATTGACCCGACCTATATTTTAGTTTCTAAATATAGATGGATAATTTCTAAATAAAATTTTTCTAGGTTTTACTTACTTTTCTTTCAACTTTAAATTCTAAATTATTCATTTGAGTGAAAGAAAACTTGCCATAAAAGATTTCTATCTCAGTATAGCGTTCTCTTCACAACAACTTTCCCACATTTAGTGAACTGCTACTTTCATATTTTTCATTGATAAATGCTTACAATTTTGTAAAACACTATATATACTTTTAAAAAGTAACTTTTTTTGTATCAAACACTAAATGTGATAGCTTAGAAGCACCATTTCTTCGAAGTCAGAATATTTTTTATGCACAGATGTCTATTCCCACTAAGAGTTTAAAGATTCTGATTACGACTGCATATTTAAATTTAATGTTTGTTTCTTTTGTAGCTGTTTGTTTCACATTCATGAAATATGCAGATCTACATTTTATTTCTCCTCTTAGGATTTGCGTGTAAGTATATTTAAATTTTTGTTTTCGTTTCAATCAGTTTTGTCTTGCATATTAAAGTAGGAAACAAAGTAGAAAATTTTGTTGAAAAAATAATAATTATAATCATTGAAATTATCTTTTTATTCAAGTTAGTAATGAGTTATATATTCATGAAAATAGAAATATTAAGAACTATTATTAGAAGCAATATTAAACTATTAAGATCAAAAATGTTAACTTTGAATTTTAGTTTTATTCAACTAAGTTATATGTTACATATTTAAATGGAAGACACAAAGGGAAGTTACAAACAAAATTTTAAAAAAATTAATATATTTTAAAGCGTTGTTGTGATGCCATTATAGATGGTTGACCGTATAAAGCTAAGCACAGGTGGCGCTACGGTTTAAAATTTGCCGTAAGACATCCGGGTTCCTACTTCCGATTGAAGCTGGGAAAAAGCTCGCCATGCAATATTATTATATTTGTAGTGTTCACAATATTACGCATTCTTTCAATTTAACAATGAAACAAATAACAAATGTATTTGGAAGAAATCACAAGCATGCTATGATGCTACCCAAACAACCGGTGATATTTTACACAATTATAGCTAAATAAGGAATAACACTCAAAACGTGACAAACCTTACACTTTATTTATGTTGTGATATTAATTTCTTAAAATTTGTTTTTGGTTCACGACCTGTTAGAATTTATAAATTATGGAGAACTCTTATAAGTGTGAAAATTTTGCTTAAATTTGATAAAAAATCACGATCATAAAACTTCCTAAAATATAAAGCCTGTTTGCACATCGCCTCGTAAGCATAACATAAGCGGAGGGATACACCGGAAATTTCATAAATTGTTTCCTAAAATTTTATTTCGTAATTTTTAAAGTTATATAGTTAATTTTACAGTTAATAACAGTTAATTGCAGTGGTTCAGTGACTTTAAAGTAAATATTACTGCATAAAAAATTACGGTATATCCGATTTTTTGTTCTCAAAAATACTATGGTAAAAATAGATTTTACGTTAAAAAGGACGGTACTGGTACCGTGAGTGCCATTATTGTTACCGTAATTTGATTCAGATTTATTACAGTCTAGCTCTTTATTTATGTATTTGAAACTCTTCAAAATGCTGAGAAAAACTTTTAAAAAATTGTTTTATGTGGTAGAAAGTAGCCACCTCATGTAGGGTGACTTTGTGCTCCTTAATTTGTCAACTGAAATCCAATAAAACTTTATTGTAGAAAATATAAAAATTATTGTTTTTAAATACAGACAAAAATTGTGTAAAATATTTCAAGAAATTTATAATATATATTTTTTGGAGAAAAAAAAATTGAAAATTGTTGAGGTTTAATTTCGTCTTTTAAAAAAAACTTTTAGCGTTTTCATATTTTTTTTTCCAAAAAAACTTCATTTTTATCGATGTCGAAATTCTTTCTAAATCCCCTGAACCTTTTTGGACTAATTTAGACTTCTCTCTCTCTCTGATGATATCGTAGGTATTTCCCCTTCTCCCAGTTATCAAGCGCATTTTTTCCAATAATTTTTTCCAAAAAAATTTTTTTTTAAAAAGAGTACAAAAAAATACATACATACTGATTACATCCTCCCTTTTCTTATGAATGATTTTTCACTATCCCCACCTACTATTTAGTTCTGAGGATAACTTCATTTATGGACGTCCTTTAAACATAATTATTCATTTTCTTAGACCGGAAAAACCTGATTAGTAGGACATTGGAATCATGTTCGTGAGAAAGGGAGTTAGAATCCCATTGGCCGAAAAAATCTCGTATGTTAAATGATGTCGGATGCACGCTAAATCTATCAAGGTCACAAAGTCCTCCAAGTTAACATAACAAATCAATACCTTTGGGGCTTCCGAATTAGAGATTGATCGTTCTCTAAATCAAGTCAAAATTAAGATCTATGGATGAATGTATGTACAAGTGGGTCTGCCCTGTGAAACGGACCACGACGTGTGTGTGTGTCTGAAATCGTATTCTTGGCCAGATGAAGCCACTGAAAAACATGAAATGCACCCTCTGCCTTAAATTTGCTTGGTTTCCCAAGTAGTCTTGCTGGCATTGGTAAGTAACAATCTATCGATCCCCGCTGGCCGAAGACTCCCCGTGTAGTAAATAGTGACTAATGCACGCTAAATCTGTCGAGTCACAAAGTCCTCCATATTCCCATAACAAATCATACCTCTGGGGGTACTGATCCAGGAGTTTCCTTGTCTTCTGGATTGGTTCAAAATTGCAAGGCTACAGAGTTGAACATTAGTAGTCGTAAACCCAAAATTGGGTCGGCTGTTCAACGACGGTTATAAAATAGCAATCGAAGCAACAATATTAATTTTTTTTTGATAAATTCATTATATGTAAAAATAAAATTATAAAATCAAATGATGTTCGGGAAATTTTCAAACAAATTATGAGTTCACTAATTAAATATACCTGAACTGAGCATTTTCTTATTTATTTCTAATTTAGTTTCTATAAAATTAACACGAAAAACAATTATACAAATTTTTTGAATGACATTTTCCAGAAAACAAATAACTCAGTGTGAATTTCAAAACTGATTGGGTATACTTTGTGCTATGCAGACTAAAAACAGAAAAAAAAATTGAATATGACAGAAATGAAAATACAGAAACGAACAATGGGTATATGGACAATGGGTAATAAACAAGAACCTTCCTCGGTGTCTTAACACCAAATGATAGTAGAAGTTGTAATGATAGAAAGACACCAAATGATTGAAAGAGTTGACCCTACTACCCTACTGTGATATTAATACCTGGAGTACTGATCAAATTTCATGTCAATGAGATCTTGCGTAGATTGGACAAACTAAACTTTTTCTTATACGTCTACCTAAAGATATGTCCAAAACCAGAACGTTAACCAATCATCTATCGCTCTACATAGTCGGAATTCAGATCTCAGGTTTGAGTTTTCTTCTGCTTAAATCATTCAACACTACTCTTCATCTATAGAACTTAATTTCTGGGAATCATTCCATATTCTGAAAATTCTACTAATTTAGTTAGTGATCATTTTAGTATTACACCGTTTTCCAATGTTTGGAAATCTATTACAATTTAATCTTTTGCATCTTGAGGTTTCTGTCAAACCACCTTACATCTGTTTATTGTATCCCCTTTTTTATTATTTTGCTCTAACTTGCACCAATGTTCCTATGAGCTAAACTACTTTGCACGTGTTTATCTCTTTACCTTCATTACTATCATTTGGTGTTTAGACACAAAGGAAGGTTCGTGTTCATAAAACCGAAGCTACAGTATGTCCATTTCGGTATTTTCCTTTGTGCTTCATTCACGTTTTTTTCTTGCTTAGCCATTATAAATTGTTTAGAAAAAAATAATTGATACAATTATATATTTTGTATTACTTAGTGCATTTTTTTACAGAAACTTAAGAATTGTATTTGGTACTTTTACTGTTTAGCAGTAACTTATGTTACATTTTAGGGGGTGGACGCAGGCGAAACTTACTGCAAAATCCAGATTTGTTCCAAGGAGACATTGCGGGTATTGAAGACATAAACGTAAGAATCTTTTTATTTTAAATATTTAAAAAAACATTTTTTTTGTTCTATAAGATCTGCTGTGAATACAAAATAAGAACTTTATCATTTAATTTATCTCATAATCTTATATTATAAAGCTAATAACGCGCAATGTAATTAAAATAAATCGGACACATGTTTTAATTTACTGTCATAATTATGTTATAAAGAAATACACATAATGGACCAATTTTGTAATATTATAATAGACATATTGTCTGCATTAAAAGAAATCATACTTCTTTGTGAAAATAAATTAAATCCTAACTTAAAAATCAACCATTTATTAATTAAAAAACAATGAATATACATATATATATATATATATATATATAATTATTATTATTATTATTATTAACAGTTTTAAAATAATGAAACTGGAGAAAAATTACGGGACTTGCTCTATCAAATGGAGAGTTAATGTTACAAAATAGAAGTTATTCTCACTTTATCTAAGTCGTGGATTAACGTACCAGAATTTTTAACTTTGATATTCTTATAAAATGCATCTATTTATGTATCTATTAATGTAATTTAACAAAAGCTATATTATAAAACGACTTTTATAATATCTGATATATAATTACACATATTATATAATAAGAACCATTTCATAATATATATTTTGTAACATTTGATGTACAATAACTTGTATTACATAATAAGAACCATATTATAATATGGTTCTTATAATATCTTAAAATAATAACACATATTATGTAATAAGAACCATATTATAGTATGTCTATTAGTAAGCCTCCTTAAGTAACAATATATTACTAAAAATCAAATATTTCATGATATGAGAATTTCATTTTTTAGAAAATAATTGTTTGCGGGCTTTATAAATTGTCAAAATAATTAAAACATTAATTATCAAGTGTTTGCGAGTTTAAGGAACAAATGAACGGAATTAATTTTGAGGTGTGCCCAGTAGATAATTAGTAGATTGAAACAATTATATTGTAAATTGATTTTTGTTAATTAGTAGATTGAAACTATTATTGTAAAACATTTTATTGTATTGTGAAACTATGTAGAGGGATCTGATTGAAACTATTACTAACTGAATGATATTTAATGTATAAATTAATTAGATATTATTCCTATTATCTACTTTGTAGTCTAATTCTAATTATAACACTGATTACAATTATCATGACATTAACAGTCTTTTTTTTCCTTATAGGATAGAAATGCTGTTATTCTGAAATCTAGGTTGTGGAGAGGTGGTGTTGTTACTTACAAAATTGATCCAAGCCTTGGTATGTAAAACGGACGAATTTCCCATTTTCAGCACAACTACGGGGAGTCCGTAGGGCATATACTAATCTTTTTCGATGTACTCTTTTCTTATCATCTATACAATATATTGCTTTAGTTTTTTTCTTCACAGTATATTTACATATACACGTTTATACTGTGATACGCGCTGTTAATGCGTATCTTTGGCAGTATTTTTTTTAAAAAATTATGAACGGAGAGCTTTTAATTTTATAAAAAAATGTTTTATTATTTTTGATCAAATATCTTTTATAAATCAAAAAGTATTCCTGTTAAAACTAAAACATTGTTACAGTATGCAACTGATATAATCTGAAACATCCCCCAAAAAATTTCAAAGCGATATCACAGGTAGGTCTTTAGAAAAAATGCATCGAAAAAAGTCAGTTTTAGCATTATTGATATATGCCCTTCTGACACCCCTTATAGTTTTACAAAAATTGACACTGTTTTGAAAATTCTCTTTTTAATAAAAAGAATAAATTTTTTCTCGACCTTACATGGGAGTACAAAAATAAATGTCTAGAGAGTGAAAGAAAAAGATATCACCCTAAGTAACTTTTTTTCTAATAATCGGATTTTCACGAACTACGTGCCAATCTTAATGGCTCAAAGGACTGATCTCAAATATTCTAATTAGCTAATAATTAATTAGAATGAATCAGTTACGTAAACCTACTTACTCGTTACATACATACGCATTCCCAACGGCTTTGGATTGCTTACTGTCAAATTATAAAGAACTCATGGGCTTCAATCTGGAACTATCTCAATTTTGTTGGAAAATTGATCGAGAGCTTGGATTTTTACATAGTTCATCTTATCTCGGAGGCATTTTAAGGAAATCGAATACATTTTGTCGGTAATTATAAAAAATTTTATTGAAAGATAATTTCAAAATAGTTCTTAACAAAAATACATTGAAAAAAATTTTTTTTTTTTTTTTGGTTTCTGCTGCATTGATACTTTTGTATCATTGATTACATATCTGCAATCGGTTTCTCTATCTAAGCTGCTGTTCTTTTTAAATAGCATTTATAGTCTATTTTTATTGAAATGTGCAAGGTTAAAAAGGTTAGATATAACAAAGGTCTCATAAATGATTCTGCAAACTTCTAGTGTAGTTAGGACACCACATCAGGATTAAAAATGCCTAGAAACCCATGCAAGAAAACGTTATGATACGCCGCTTCGGCCACTCCTCTAGTGTGGGCGTTCCTAAGTGTGCTTCTGAACAACTCATTATAGCGAAGAATCCCTAGCAACGTATCCCTAGACGTTTTCAATCATTTTAAAGAACATTTTTGAGCAACTTTAATCCTGAGGATGTACCCTCCTAGAAGTTTGTCGCAGTATTCATGTGACACCTTATGAATCTGACGTTTTTAACCTCGTACATTTCGACAAAAAATATACTAAAAAAGCCAATTTTATAAAAAAATTTGTAGCTTTAGGTGTGAAACTAATTTCAGATTTGATTCGAAATCTCCACATCCGAATTAAGAAAAATCAAGTATTTGTAGAAATGCGACAAAAAATTTGTTCCCTAATGCTATTAATTACAAATTATTACAAGTATTACCCAATAAGTTAGCAAGTATTTCCTTACAAAATAAAATTTTTCAGATCATATTTTTAAAAAAAATAATAAATTGTGAAATTCGCTTAATTAAAAATAGCTCTATGTTAAAAAAAAATACGTTTTAATAATTCATTAGAGTTTCTTTTACTTTTTTTTATTTAATCAATGCTCAAGAAATTAAGATACACAAATTTTTTCATAATACTATTGATAAACGAATAATTTCGCGAGGAAAAATTAAATTTTGATTAACTTCAAAAATTTTGAGGGATTTCAAAGTTAGCATTAAAGGGGCCGAATTTTCGACTCGCACCTGAATATGACTATATTTTCCAAATAGTGGGGGCCCATTCCCCATATTTTAAAGGTCAAATAAGTGAATCCGCCGAAGAAATGGTATGTTTATTCTGAGAAAGTACATTTTACGTAAAATTCCGAGAAAGTACATTTTACGTAAAATTCCGTAACTTCATTAAATAGCACAGGGACAAAAAAAAATTTTGGTAAAAATTTCCATACCATAGGGTAATGACATTTCTTGTTTAAAAAAAAAGAACATAAGTATGGCAATAAAAGTCAAAATATATGGTATTTAAGCAATTCATTTGATAATTTTTCCATTCATATATTTACTGTTCACCAGAAATTCTGATTTTTGAAATTTACCTCACATTTAATAAAAAGTGCAAAATTGAAAAGACAAATTTAGCCGAAAGATGGTTTTTACGTCATGCTCAAAGGTACCATGGTAAAATGACCAAATTTTGCTTCAGTTAATTTCAACACATATTCTAAAACTGTGTTTTATTGTTAATTTTACCAAAATCATTAAAGTGATTCGGTAAAAATTACCGAACTTTTTGGTGTTCCCATAGAGCTTTTCGCTTTTATTTTTATAAGGAGATTTCATGTGGATGTGATATATAGTTTTGCTTTTATTTAATATAGAGCTTTTTTTATTTGCTTTTTCACGCTTGGTCATGATTTTTTTTAACTGCATTAATTAATTAGCATATTGTTGCCAACCCTTTTGGAACCATTAAGATTGGAACTATGAAAATCTGATCATTAGAAAAGTTACTCAGAGAAATATATTTTTATTTTTTTAGTTCGCTGCACATCCCATAACTTCAAATACTCCTTCAGTTGTAACTAGTAATTAAATACGAGATGGATATCTGATACTTTTATCTATGATTTCCACTGAAAATATGCTTATATATCATTATGAAGCTTTTTGCAGTCTGTAACCATAATTTTAGCACTCCCAATTAATGCCGGGTGCTCCAAAATGACAGACGATTTGAAGAAAAATGGAAAGAGATGAAAAATATATAATCTTTGTTGTGTTCTACTTAAAGAAAACAGACAAAAAAAATTCCTCATTGGGTTTCAAAGCTAGTTACGAAGTTCGTCAATAGGTGGCTATTCTAACTGAGAAGCATTCCTCCATGTTTTTCTATTTTTTTTTTTTTTTTCAAATAGTCGGACTTTTTTGGACATAGAATAAGAATTGTGCCTGTAATTTAATTTATTGCAGATAATATCAAAGGTGAAATTTTAAGAGCCATGAGGCACATTTCTGATCAAACATGTCTTACCTTCAGGGAAAGGAGCTTTGAAAAGGATTATATTAGGATATTTTCGGGAGAAGGGTAAGTGAAAATGTAATTGACAAGTTTTGTTGAAAATCGTTTTTATAAATAATTTGTATACATTCAGGTTTCAAAGTCTTAAAAAGCATGTCGTGCTAATAGATGAACAAGCTAACATAGCCCCCTAAAAGGCATTTTTAAAGTATTAACCAAGTACTAGAATAAGAATAAACAACATTCTTAATGTACAAAAAGAAATGACATGGCATATGTAAAATACTTTATCCTTCTAGCAGTTAATTTTGAATTCGAAGCATTCAGTGTACTATATTTCAGAACCTGTAGTGCTTACTTTGTACATAAAGCAAAATATAAATTTCGTATTATAATTAACAGTGAGTACCTAATACTATCTCAAACTTTCAAAAACTTTTCAAAAATTGGTAGTCAAATTGAGAGCTTAAACTCCAACCTACTGAAACATTATTTGAAAATTATAAGGAAATATGCTAAGAATTAAAGTTCCTGTAGCTACATTTTATATTTAAAGAGCAAGTTAAATGTAGGCAACTCTGGAGCAATTATTTAAAGATCTGATGGCATCAATTCTTTAAATTATTGTGATCAAGAGAGTTTTTAATGACAAATTTTCATGACTTTTCCACCTAATCTTTAATGAGCTCTTTCTCTTTCTTTTTCCCTCAATTGCTCTCTCTAAGTCAAAATTCAACGCACAGATATAATATTTGATATCCGCAATATCACATCGTAATCAAAAGTGGACGGTATATTCATTTCCACATAAAACAGTTCGACGTAATTACATTTTACGACGCGATTCATATGATTCATATAACAAAATGTCGGTTCATAAATTGGTAGCCGATGTTTCAAGCTGTATTCATAAGCATAAATTATTAAAATGCTAAATATAATGTTTTTTTATTTAATTTAACCTAAATTAAGTAAAAAAATTTATGTATAGAAGCATAAAATTAATATTATATACAAAAACTAAAAAAACTAATATTAATTTACAAAAAAACTTTATGTATTAAAAGTATGATAAAAAATATACCTATTGCAGGAAATAATGTAAAAAGTATAAAAATGTGTTTCGACACAAAAACCTCAAATTATTAGTAGTTTTATGATATACTAGTGGGCTGCGCCCCCTGCTCGCTAACGCTCGCCAACCCCCGAAAATTGCTACGCAATGTTATATGGTTTGCTCCGCAAACCAAGCTCGCTTCGCTCGCTACTAACTTAGGTACATTGCAAATGCACAAAATTCTAAGAATTCGAAACAATCATTCAAATCCATATAACAACTTTTTTTTCTAAAAAAAATTACATCTTTTTAGTAAGTACTGAGTCCTTAAAATAAATTTGAATTCAAATAAATGACATGTAATTCGTTAAATCTATTAGAAATGTGCTATAGTATAAAATCTTAAGACAAAATTTCTAAAACTGATATCTCTTTAAAAAGATTAAAATTTCGGCTATAATTAAGTCTATTAAAAATTGAAATAAGTGAATTACAATGGAAAAACCTGCATAAACAAATAAATTCTAGTAAAACAAATAAATTCGTGATATAAATCAAAAATTGTCAAATAAATTCGTAATACATAAATTCGTGAAAAAAAACGCTTTCGACAAAAAACCAAAATAGAGATCTATCGACAAAGACTTCTGCCTAGCTTATGCTCTCCCTGGTTATTTCAGTTTCCGTTTTTAAAAGCGCTATATGTTGAGCCATCTTAGCTAGATTTGGCATGTGACATTTTTAGCTGTAATCATTGGTCTATTTTCTAGCGTTGCCATTCGGGGAGTTGTAATGAGGCTTTTTTTTATCGCCGTGTAAGAGAAATATATATATAGATATTATAAAAACGGTATAAAATTCGAATCCCGTAAACGAGTATTAGCAGCTAAATTTTTAAACCCTAAGTTTTCTAAAAAAAATAGATTTTATTTATTTATTAAGGTTAAACTTCATAGATCAAAGTTGATTTTGAGAGTTAAATAAGGCTGTTTTCAACGGATAAAGCTTTGTTATCACTATATACACGTGCCTCCAACTATTCTAATTTTCTCAAAATTTATTAAACTTTTTCATTTTCTCTAATTGTGACGAAAAAATTATGTACTTAACTAATGTATATAGATTTTATTTTAAGTAAAGCATTTAAAATAATTTAATAAAAACCACAAGACTCCTTAAAAATATAAATTTCAATCAATAATTTTAATATTTATTTTTGAAGATGTTTAATGCTGGCTTTATTAATGCTTAATTTTCATATAAAATTTTCGGAAAATTTAAACTATGCCTGAGAATTATTAAACAGATACCTAATTTGCTATTATTATTATTATAAATTTTATCATTATTATTATTAGTATAAATATTATCATTATTATTATTAGTATAAATATTATTATTATTAGAATAAATATTATCATTATTATTATAAGTATAAATATTATCATTATTATTATTATTGCAATGTATGTATTAATTTCTGTATTAGCCCAACAGTATGTTTTTACAGTCTAGTCTATCATTAACTGGATTATATCTTGATTTAGAAAAATTATATTAAAATATAAAATTGTTAACGTTTACTGCTTCAAATTTTGAAATTTTCATTTTTCAATAATGCAGTGTAATAACTCTCTTGTTATTTATGATAATAGCATAACTGGGAATTTTATTTAAGTAAGCATATTTTTTCAGAGAAAAATTAATAATTAATACATTTTTGTTTATATGTCATCAGGTGTTATTCTTATTGGGGTCGATTTGGTGGAGTGCAACCCTTATCCTTGGAAGCAGGTTGTGAACCATTTGGAACTATTATTCATGAGCTATGTCACGCCATAGGGTTCGCTCATGAACAATCTAGATCTGATAGGGATGACTATTTGATCATTTACTGGGAAAATATAATGAAAGGTGATTTTTTTTCAATGTTAACTAAATTGTATTTGTTGAATGCTAAAATATATATTTTTTATCGATTAAGCCAATGATCCAACACCGGTTCGTAAATCAAATGATACTGGGCCTATCCTAACACTTGATCCAAGAGTGCCCTTGTCTTCTGGACTGAGTTCAAACACAACAACAAGGCTACGGAGTTGAACATAAGTAGTCATAAAGCCTAAATTGGGTCGGCTGTTGAACGACGGCTATAAAATAAATAAAAACTTTTTGGCGTGATGGATCAGAGAATAAAACGATCGTCTTCCAACGAGGTGATTCGGATTTAAATCTCAGCGATTGCAAGTAGATACGAATTCTGCATCCGGCTTACACCGACCACAGTGCTGACGTAAAATATACTCAGTGGTAATCGGATCATGAGTTAAAGTCTCCTTGTTATCGAACTTACTGTGGGATGTTTTCCTCTCTAAGAAATGCAAATGTGGGTAAGTAAGGCTAACCGTTGGAGACTTTTGTGGATTTCCTCTCCATGTAGCATAAATGCGGATTAGTCCATTAAAAAAGTCCTCTACAAAGGCAAACATTTTTCGCAATACTTGATTCAAGATTGCCCTTGACTTCTGAATTGGGTTCAAAATTATATTTCCACGGGGTTGAATATTAGTTAAATAAAAAAAAATAAAACAAAATAAAAAATAAATTAAATTAAAAAATAAAATAAAATATTAAAATGAAATAAAATAATAAAATAAAATAAATTAAAATATTAAAATAAAATTAAATATTACAATAAAATAAAATATTAAAATAAAATAAAATAAAATAATAAAATAAATAAAATAATGAAGTAAAATAAAACTTTTTGACGTGATGGTTCAGTGAACAGAGCGTTTGGATTCGAATCTCAGAGATAGTAGTCGATACGAATTCTGCATCCGCCTTGCGCCGACCACAGTTCTGACGCAAAATATCCTCAGTGGCAGACGGACAATGGGTTAAAGTCCCCTTGCCATTGAACTAGCAGAGGGATGTTTTCGCGGTTTTCCTCCCAATATAACGTAAATGCGGGTTAGTTCCATCAAAAAGTCCTCCACGAAAGCAAATTTCTCCCAATACTTGAACCAAGAGTTAACCTGTCTTCTAGATTGGGATCAAAATTACAAAAATACGGAGTTGAACATTGGTCGTCGTAAACTGAAACAAAACGGTTGTCTGTTCAACAATGGTTTCAAACTAAAAAAGTAAATAAAATTCGTTGTGTAAAGGATGGAATCCCAGCGATGGGTGGTCGATATGAATTCCGCACCTGGCTGCCACCGACCACAATGTTGACATAAGAATATCCTCAGTGGTAAACGGATCATGGTTTAGAAAATCCCTGCTACCTGACTGGCCGTGGGAGGTTTAATGATTTTCCTCTCCATTTAACGCAGATGCGGGTCGGTTCCATCAAAAAGTCCCTCATCAGGGCAAATTTGTCCCAATACTTTTCCAGGAGTTCCCTTGTTCTCTGTATTGGTTTCAAACTTACATGGCTACGGAGTTGAATATTGATTGCGGAATACCTGTAAGTGATGCTGTAGTGTGAATATTTCAATCCCGATTGATTGTTGAAACGGGAATTTTGTTTACGTTAGCAACTGTAACCATTCCGTTTCGAGTAAGCCAAGCTCATCAAGTATCAATTTTCTTAGGTGAATCATTTTTTATTTTTTCACAGCGATTTAAGTTCTCTTACTATAGGTTTCTTACTTAACACAAAGACAGGCGCGAAGTCACGTGGAACACAAACAAACTTATTATTCATCGAAGTTACCAGGTACACAAGCAAAAATATATCAAGGTTACGATAAAGGACGTAAAAAAAATTAATTAAAAAACGTAGAAGAGAAGGAATTATATTTCAACAAATCCCACGAGTGATAAGGAGCTGTATTTAATTGACCTCACGTTAATTAACATTCTTACTTGTGTGGAGAAACTTAGCTCAACTTTAACGTGCCATTTTGCTTTTAAACGATTAGCTGGCATTGTTCACATGTGTGGGTATCGTGATCTTCTTCTTCATGAAATGCAAGTACTCAATTGGATCGGTTATTTACAGCCGGTTATGAAATGAAATATAAAATGTTGTTGTGTGAAGGGTAATGGTTTGAAAGAAGAAAAAAAATTAAATCTTTGTCTATGCTTAATCGTTGAAATAATTAAGCATGAAACTTGCGTGAAACTTATTCCTGCTAATGATCATCTTGATTTAAGACACTTCGACTTAAATTACATATTAAATCATGTTATTAGATTAACGGCGCGTGAGTGAAGAAACATTGAGTTGAATTTGCCAGAAGGTTTAATGAAGTTTAATAAGTAAAAAGTAATTTGAAAGTAAATGAAAAATATTTAGAAAAATGAAGAATTTTGATTACGGCTACCGTTCTACGAATTTTGAGTTCATAATCAGCAGTATGTATTTGAACACCTGTGATGGAAAATACTTCTATAAAAATTTTATTTCCTTCTAATTGCTATTGTTGCATATGCTATTGTTATTATAATTGCTATTGTTGCGATAATGTAAATACTTCCATTAATTTTATTTTTTGTTTATTTTAAAGGAGCGGAAGATCAATTTCGCAAGCTGATGCCACATCGTGAAAGAAAAATCAATGGATTTGATTACAATTCCATTATGATCTATGGAGAGGAAGCATTTTCATACGACGATATCCAAAAAACAATGGTAGCCAAGAAAAAAGGAGTTCGCCTCACTGATCCGTTCGAAAAAAAGGGGCTCAACCCTAGTGATGTATATAGAATCAATACCTTGTATGATTGTAATAAATGATCAATAATTGTAGTATTTATGTGTCCCATATGATTGCAACAAATAAAAGTACGTAAAAAGCGTGCAGATGATCTGCAAATAAAGCTATTACAACAATCACATTGCTTCACATATTTTGAGATATTTTTTATTTTGACATGTATAACAAAATATCAAGCTACCTTAAATAAAACTGACAGTTTTCAAACAAGTTTAATGGAAAAAGGTTAAGGTTAAAAGAAAAAACTTATTTTAATAAATTCAAATTAAAGAGCATAAACTTTTCCTTCTAGAGTTTCTAGTTTTAGTTCAAAAAATTCCGGTAGAGAACGCTGCAGTAAGTAAACAACAAGAAAATAAAAGAAAATTCATTGAATATCACAAAACAATATATTTTGAGACATCCAAAATCCACTGCAATTACATTCCTTAATGTGACTTGTTGATAATTTATATATTATCTGGGAAACAATCCCTGAGGATGATTCGAAATTAAGTTTCCCTTTTTTAGCACACTATATATTGTCTAATATTATTTGTCCGTAAGAAACACTTTTCTCCTTTTTTTTAATAGTCAAAAAAAATTTCAAAGATAGCATTATTTAACTAAAAGCATCCATTTGAGCGATAATAATAATTTAAAAGCTATTAAGTGTATCAGTGCTATTAAGGTGAGGCCACACACTAAGGAGGCAAGCGATTAGTAAGAGACATAATAGGGGCAGTTGTCATATTTTAGCCTTAGCATGCGCACATCACCTCTCCGCATCCTATGCGTCGTAGTAATTCGCCTCTTATCCTTAGCGCTTGCCTCCAGAATGTGTGGCCTGCTGCCTAATATTTCCCATTTTACTACTTTCAATTTCATAAAAAAAATTATGAAGAAATAGGCAGTTTGTTTATATTTATTTATTTATTGTTTTTCATTTATTATTATCATTTATTACTTATTTATTATTATTTATTCATTTATTTTTATTTATTATTACTTGTTTGTTTTTTAATATTTATTTATTACTATTTATTTAATATCATTCATTCAGTATTTATTATCATTTATTTATCATTCACTTATAACTTATAATCATTTATTTGTTAATTACTTATTGAATACCCATTCTTCTTACGGGGTGAAAAAAGTATATAATTAATGAATTAGTCGGAACAACACTACGAAAATGTACACAAAATTGAATAATAAAGCCAAAACATAATTAATAAAGCCAAAATAATACTAATATTTTTTTGTTTACTATATTTTTTTCTCTTCCCAGTGGCTTTACCTGGTACCCGGTTCCCTTTTTCAGATTAAACATAAGAAGATTTTAGTAATTCATCTCACCAAAATTACGAATAACTACATTTAATATCATTTGGCATAATACTGCTTCTCGAGATTAACTTTTGATAGTATAAATTTGTCTACAATCAAATAATCTTAAATCCTTTTTTGACACTATTTATATTAAAACTGAGCCAATTATTATGATACCAAAAGTGCCCATCACCAAAATTGAACATCATTATCGTCAAAAATAATGTGGCGATTTTTTACACTACTCCTAAATGAATTAGTACAATTTCTTTATTAATTTTGTCTTTAAGCAAGTAGCTTATTTTTTTTATTTCAATAACCATTGATTTTAAATTATTTAGTTTCTCAGAAATATGTTTTAAAAGCATAACTAAAACAAATAAAAAAGTAAGATTTTAGACATTTTTAAGAATACTAATTTGGTGAAATAGTCCACCGATGCTACCACGTTCTCAGGTAACGAATAAAATAGCTAAATATTTACGAATCTGTAAGGAACCCTTTTTTGATTATTGAGAACTATAAACTAGCAAACATTACTGATCTTGCTTTAAGAATATTTCACAAAACTGAATCACGTGTAGTTAAATTCAAAATAATGATAGTTCTAAACCAATGAGATAGTTTTATTTTTCAAATACCCCTCCCAAATAATTTTTATGATTGGGCACTGAAATTCGCCCTTTTACCCACTCACAGTGGGACAAAATTGGAAAAATGCGGCCAAAATTAGAAATTTAACTTCAATGTTCTAAAAATTGATCACCCATAGGTTTTTGGGTCGCTCCAAAATGGCGGATGTTTGTTGAAAAAATTGTAAATAAATAAATAAAAATTATTTACTAGTAGTTTTTGAGATCTTTGATTACAAATTTGTGGTTAATAATTTTAATAAATACAGTAATAGATGTAAAATCGCAAATATTTATCAAAACAAATTTAAACTAAAATTGAATCAAAATATTTAAGATTCTTAATTACAAATTCGATTATCGATTTTAAAAAAAATAATGAATCTATTTTGATAATCCTAGTTTAACTATTCCTAGTTTAACTATTTATGATGCTGTGGGAGAGGAGGTTGTGTTGATATACTCCCTTTATATTGTTTATTATATAGGTATAAATAATAATCTCAAGTTTATTTTTATAATTTTTTAATTAATTTTATCGTTATTATAAAAATGACACGAGCTATAAAAATCGATTTATCAGCCAAATTCGCAAATATTCGCAGCTGATTTTTTTTTAGTTCTTAAGTATATATACCAAACAAATGTACACATTTTTTTTTTACCTCGGCAAGGTAAGGCTTTTTTTATAGAGCACCCTAAAGTTACAATTTCTTTGTACAGGGCAGAAATTGGGAAATGGCTCTGGTTTTAACAGTATTTATATAAAATAATGAATTCATATATATCTTAGAAATACATTTATGTATAAATCATGCATAGTTTTGATATTTTTATTTACTGTAAGGATTTATCATATCAATAAAAATTTAACTGAAAATTTTTTTTATTTTTATTTCGATTTTGTTTTTATTTATTTGCTATTTCCATTAATAAACCGAAAAAACAAAATACGCCGTCATATTCCTTGGATATTTTACTACAAAAAACCGTATTGAGATTTTTTTTCTTATAACTTCATTCTTTTAATTTTTGACGGCGAAAAAGGATTTTTGTTCCACGGTGCCACCGTTCAAATTTCTGAACCAAAGCGCAAACAATTCTGAGGATATAAGTGAAACCCACATAGTGCACAATCACCCACAAACTCTACATTTTATTCTAGATTATGAATTTATTTATTATTCCATGTTATTAGATTAATTTATTTGAAAATGATTTATTATTAATTTGCTCCAAAAAATATATTTTAAGAATTACAACAAAGTTTAAGTTTATAAAAATGACAGCATACTTTAAAATACTACGTGAAATTTTGTTAATTTATATTTTAAGATTATTTTTTAATAATTCGGAATTTAAATTTATGAGAATAAAAAATAATGATATGTTATTACTCTCTGAATTTAACAGTAAACATATTATAAGAATTTCAACAAAGTTTAAGATTATAAAAATGTCAACACAACTAAAAATGCTACACAAAATTTCGTTAGGTAATAATTAATATTTTAAGATTTTTTTTAGTAACTTAGAATTTAAATTTGAGTGATTAAAAAATAATGATATGTTATTACTGTCTGAATTTAAAAGTAAAAATATGATAAAAATTACAGCAAAGTTCAAGATTATGAAAATGTCAACACAGCTAAAAATATTTCTCGAAATTTCGTTAGGTAATAGTTTATATTTTAATTTTTTTTTAATATGTTGGAATTTTAATTTGCATGAATAAAAAATAATGATGTTATTACTGTCAAAATTTAACAGATGTAATAAAAGATATCAAGTTATTATTCTGAGCTTTGTGTAGAGTCGTAAAGATATTTTGTAAACTTTACAGGTGGTGATTTTTCTTTAGTGTATCTTATCTCAAACTTTTAAATAGTAGACTATGATTTCATAACTTACGATGCCTTTAAGTCAAGATTTCCTTGCATAATCATTTCGGCATTTGGTCTAGTTAAAAAACATGCTGATTTTTATGTTGACTTTTTCCATCGGATTAGCATGTGAGTAACATTTCACACTTCACATAGCATAGTTTTATTCCAATCAGAAAATAAACTGTATTATACCATGATACCATTTTTTTTCCAACTAAATATATTAATTTGTTTATATGCACAGTTGGACAACATGTTAAACTATATTGAGATGAAAATGTATAACATAAAAATAAGTAATTCGTTTTTAAAAAAATTTAGATCTTGTCATAGTGAAGTAAAAATAATCAAATGCAAAGGTGGTTTAATTAAAAAATATTATTTTTTTGTCCGGTAAAATTTTGCTTTATAATCAGCGTTGAACAGTAGACCTAAATCTAAGTTTATGAATATCAATGTTCCACTCTGTAGCCTTTTAATTTTGAACCCAATCCAGAAGCCAAGGGAGCTCCTAGATCAAGTATTGGGACAAACTAGCTTTCGTGAAGGACTTTTTTGATGGAACTAACTGCATTTGCGTTACATGGAGAGGAGAATAACGAAAACCTCCCATGGTGAGTCCAACGGCAAGTAAAGTACTTTGCACAACTAAATAAGATTCTTTTCGCAACACATAAATATTTACTTTATTTTCTTCATATGTAAAGAGAACAGTCGGCAAAGAATTCTGTTAGGTTAAAAAACATTTCGCTAAAACAAAACAAAAAAAAAAACGAATTCGCGATCGCAACGAACTATAGGGGGCGTTGTTGTCTGAGACTAATACCTGCGATTTCTATATGAACAGTCATTCAGTTACTCTAGAGACGTCGTTAATGTAGCACGTAGCATTGCAACGTTCCTTCATTATTGTGGCTAATTAAATTTAAAAAAGAAAAATGCTTGATATTCTTTCTTATGCAAACGAAAACAAAATGGTATCTCTTTTTATTAGAGAAGGAATATCCAAAACACATCGGAAAAATATTTGTACATTAACAGAAAAAAATATGTATATTCTTATAAGAGTTAAAACCTAATGCCCGAGAAATAGTATTACTAAATTTAATGATATAACATGAAAGGCCCATTTAAACTTTACATTCTATAGTTTTAAGAATCATATTACTTCAAAAATTAAAATGAACAAAAAGTATACATAAGCCTCATAATTTTATGAAATTTAATTTTGTAAACAAAGTTTTTTGACAACAATTTTTATCAAAAAATTTCAAGTTTCAATAAAAA